AATTCCGGGAATTCCGGGCATTTGGGAAGCTGGGAGCCAGCCCTGGAGGGGCTGGGCAGCAACAGCTCAGGAAAAAGAAGGGATGGAAATGATTCGCTGAGGGCTGGAATGAAGGTTTGGATCGGGAGGGTGGAAGGGCTGGGAATGTGTGGGAACAGCTGGAATTGTGTGGGAACAGCTGGGATTGTGTGGGAACAGCTGGGATTGTGTGGGAACAGCTGGAATTGTGTGGGGACAGCTGGGATTGTGTGGGGAAAGATGGAATTTTATGGGAATAGCTGGAATTGTGTGGGGAACAGCTGGGATTGTGTGGGAACAGCTGGAATTGTGTGGGAACAGCTGGGATTGTGTGGGAATAGCTGGAATTGTGTGGGGACAGCTGGGATTGTGTGGGGAAAGATGGAATTTTATGGGAATAGCTGGGATTGTGTGGGAACAGCTGGGATTGTGTGGGAACAGCTGGAATTGTGTGGGGAACAGCTGGGATTGTGTGGGAACATCTGGAATTGTGTGGGAACAGCTGGAATTGTGTGGGAACAGCTGGAATTGTGTGGGAACAGCTGGAATTGTGTGGGAACAGCTGGAATTGTGTGGGAACAGCTGGGATTGTGTGGGAATAGCTGGAATTGTGTGGGGACAGCTGGAATTGTGTGGGAACAGCTGGGATTGTGTGGGAACAGCTGGGATTGTGTGGGGAAAGATGGAATTTTATGGGAATAGCTGGGATTGTGTGGGAACAGCTGGGATTGTGTGGAGAACAGCTGGAATTTACCCCATGGATTTATCCCATGGATTTACCCCATGGATTTAACCCCTCAATCCCCACAGAGACCCCAGCGGAGGAGCTGTGCCGGCACCAGCCCTCGGTGATGGGAATTCCCAAACTCTGACGGAACCGCCCCCGCTCCGGCCCATCCCAGGCCATTCCCGGTTTCCCGGGGCCGTTCCGGGCCGGAGCAGCCTCACCTCGCAGCGGAAGGGCTTCTCCCCCGAGTGCTGCAGCGAGTGCACCTTCAGGGACATGCTGC